AAGTAGGTTAGGCTGGGAGGCAGCGACTGGCCCAAGGTCACCCAGAAAGCTCCATGGATTTGTAGGGATTTGAACCCTGGTCTCTCAGGTCCCAGTCTGACAAGCAGAGGCAGAGCAAGGGGGTGCAGTGGCGGTGGTGCGCCCCGGGTGCCATCCTGAGGGGGAGTGACATTGCTGGGATGCTAGCCCCGCCCCTGCAGACCGCTAGCCCCGCCCCTGGGTACACACTGCTCTGGGTGCCGGAGCACCTAGCTCTGCCTCTGCTGACAGTCTCACCAACTACACCACACTCGTTCTAGATTGTTAACAATATACAGTGGTACCTCGGGTTAAGTACTTAATTCGTTCCGGAGGTCCGTACTTAACCTGAAACTGTTCTTAACCTGGAGCACCACTTTAACTAATGCGGCCTCCTGCTGCCGCCGCGCCGCTGGAGCATGATTTCTGTTCTCATCCTGAAGCAAAGTTCTTAACCTGAAGCACTATTTCTGGGTTAGAGGAGTCTGTAACCTGAAGCGTATGTAACCCGAGGTACCACTGTAACTCAGTCTTGCTGACAATGGCTGGCTGTAGTTCTCCAAGGTTTCAGTCTCTCCAAACCTTAGGGGGCGATGCCAGCGATTGTACCAAGAGCTTTCTGCATGTAAGGCTGCTGCTGCTTTATGAATTATTAAATTGATTTCTCGCAGTTCCGAGGACAGGTTTTAACAATTAAAAACCCAGAATTAAAAGCAGTTAAAACCTTTACAGGAATAGGGTGGGCCCTGAAAATACATTTCTGAAGTGTCAAAGGCCAGTGTAAAGAAGTGTGTCTTCAGAATTCATTGAAAGCTGTATAGTGAAGGTGTCAGGTGCACCTCTGAGGGGAAGGAGTTCCACAACTCAGGGGCTGCCACAGAGAAGGCCCCCTCCCCAGCTACTACCATACTCCTGAGCATACACATTAACTCCTAGGGGCCAAGCCCCTGACAACCTTCGAAAACCTCCTCCTAACAACAAAGGGAAACGGTAAAGGGACGGTATCCGCAATATACAAAATACTACTCCAAAATCCTGTAAATCCCCTAGACGCAATCAAAAAACAATGGGAGAATGACATAGGTTATGAGATTAACCCCACTCAATGGACCAGAATGTGGTCTAACCCCCCTTTAAATCCATATCAACGAAAAGAAAAGAACTCACACTGAAACTCACCTACAGGTGGTACCTAACACCAAGGAAACTAGCGCTAATACACCCAGGAAGCTCACCAAAATGCTGGAGAGGGTGCACCTCCACAGGCACATACCTCCACATGTGGTGGGAGTGTCCCAAAATCCAACTATTCTGGACAACAGCCATACAAGAAATATGTAAAATAACTAAGCAAGTAATAGACATCACCCCAGAATTGGCCCTACTAAACATCTTCCAAGACAACAATGCCCATTTACACCACAAAGAACTCATAACCCACCTGCTCTCAGCAGCCAGAAACACCATAACCAGACACTGGAGAGACCTGTCAGGAGTAAGCATGGACCAATGGTACCAAATAGTATGGGAAACAGCCCTACTAGAAAAATTAACTAATAAACTGAAACTGACACGGGGACAAACAGAAGAAGACGCCTTCACCCCGGTATGGCTCCCATTTATCACATACACAGCCCAACAGGACAATGACAATAATCCACCAACAGCATACAAATCAATATGGCTAACCTGATCCAAAACACCCACCCACCTCACTCACACACGAAAACAAAGATCACCACAGCCAATCACAAGCAAACAATCACACCCTAGGCCAACCCCAACCTCTCTCACCACCAAAGGAACACAAGTGAACAACACAAGCAACGCTGACACCAAACTCTACATACATTAAACATAATAGAAACACCGCCACCCGACCCCACCCCTATCCATCTTCCCTCTCTCCACCCCCCTTTCTTTTTTCTTTTTCTTTTTTTTCTTCTCCCCCTAATGCCTCAACAAATGAAACGGATTTGTAAAAATGTTACATGGGGAAAAAAAATACGAGGCACTACACTTCTGTAAAACAAGAAAATCCTTAATAAAATATTTTTAAAAAAAAAAAAAAAAAAAAAAACTCCTAGGGGCCAAGGCAATTTCACCCCCTACCTGCCTATGTTCAGCTCCACTCCCTGGCTCCTTGTGACGTCACGCGATCAATTTGGAAAGATGGTGCCTCTGCTTCTGCTTCTGCTGGAGGTGAAATTAACAAGAGCTACCCCTCTGCCAATCTGAACACCCAGGATGGCCCACAGGGAAGGAATTGGCCTTTCAAATATTTGAGGTCTGAGTCGTTTAGGGCTTCAGACACTCACATGAGCACCTTGAAGAATGGAGCCTGGAAACAAACTGGCAGTCAGTGCGGCTGTTTTAGAACGGGGGTTCTATGATTTCTAAAGGGAAACCCAGCCAATACTCTACCCACTGCATTTGGGGCCAGTTGAAGTTCCCAAGTAATCTTCAAGGGCAGCTCCATGTAGAGCTAAGGCCCTTCTGTGGGCCCTGGAGGCCTTTCTCCCTGCACAATTGGTGTTGGTGTAACTCTGGGCTCATCCACACCATCGCAGTTGCTCTTTCTGGTCCACTTCTTGCCTCTGGAAAGCCTACAAGCAACTCAATATGAGAATCGCTTCTCAGTATGAGAATAATAGCCTAGACCTATCTCACACACTACATCTAAGGCATTATGATACCACCTCGTGCTTTAATCGTATGGTGCGAATGTGGCCACACTGTTGTTCCTAGTGGTTGCCTGTTTTCATTGGCAGGGAGTGGTGTAGTGTGGATTGCCAGTGCCCAGGGTGGGTCGGAGGCTCATGTCAGGGAGTGTGTTCGAAACCCACAAGGCACATGGCTGCCAGCGCTACTGCTGCTGGTGGCAGTGACCACACGCCTTCTTAACTTGGCAGCTCCACCATCTCCCGGCTCAGCCAGCCCAATGGCATTGTGTGGGCATTGCGCCTCGTTGTGCCCCTCTCATATTTTGTACCCGGGGAGACTTCCCCTCCCCCCCCATGCTATGCCACTGGCGGCAGGATGCAGCCATCATGACTGGTAACTACTGACAGCCTTATTCCCCATGAATTTGTCCAACCTCCTTTTAAAATCATCTATATTAGTGGCCATAATTTAACTGCAGGTGATTTAGCTACTTCCTTTTTGTCTGTCCTGAATCTCCCAACCAGATTTAATAAAATAATTAGAAGGAGTTGAGTGTGTGGATGGTTGGTACATCTATTATTGCATCTAGCTTATAGTTACTTGTTTATATTTATTGGTTGTAGAGTTTCCTCAGGGAGCAGGTAAAATTAGAACATCTGTACACGGCTGGAGAGGCAGCAAATTGCACCTGCCGAGTTGCTAGCTTCCTTCTTCAAAACGCACCTGTTGAATTGCTCACTTTCTTCTTCAGTCGTTTGGATCAGGGGTCAGCAAACCTTTTCAGCAGGGGGCCGGTCCACTGTCCCTCAGACCTTGTGGGGGAGGTGGACTATATTTTGGGGGGTGAACGAATTCCTATGCCCCACAAATAACCCAGAGATGCATTTTAAATAAAAGCACACATTCTACTCATGTGAAAACACGCTGATTCCTGGACTGTCCGCAGGCCGGATTTAGAAAGCGATTGGGCCGGATCTGACCCCCGGGCCTTAGTTTGCCTACCCATGGTTTGGATAAACCCTTATGGCAATTTATGCTGGCATAGGAGTCTTCCTTATATACAAATCTAGACCTTTTTGCTGAGGTCTCAGAGTTAGAAGACAGAAGTTAGAGAGGTGGGAATGGTGGGGTTTTGCGGATATCCAGTAAATAGGCTAAATTTCATTGAGACTAGCTCAGTGGACTTTAAGAGAAACAGAGGGCAAAGGCGTTATGTGGCAAGTCAATTCTCTGTCAGTGTTTTGACAGGGTGTGTGGGTGTGGAGTTGCGGGAAACTGAGGCAAGAGGGAGGCAATGTTGGGAGTCGCACCCCTTATGGAAGAAAGTCGCACCCCTTATGTAACCCAGGGGTTACTGTGCTTTGCAGGAGCACAGTGTGATATAGGAATCAGTCACCTCCCCTTTGGAACTCCCTCCCACTAGACATTTAGACAGGCAGCGGCTCTGTATGCCTTTTCAATGTTAGGGAGACAGGAAGCTGTCTCATACCGTGTCAGACTATTGGTCTAGCTTGCTCCGTATTGTCTTCACCGCAGGAGTATTTCCCAGCCCTACCAGGAGATGCCTTTGAGGATTGAACTAGGGACCGAAGCAGATGCGCTGCCACTGAGCCACAGTTCTTCCTCTTTCAACAATCCCTTTAAGTGTCTTTATTCTGCATCTGTGCTGAAATCATTTTAAACTGTGCTTATATGCAGAGTTGTTTCTAAAGACTTGAACAGCACTAACTTGCTGCCTGATTGAGGTTGAAAAACCGTGTGTGCTGCCTTGAGCTCCTAGAGGATAGGTGGACTATAAATGCAAATGAGTCGATAAATAAAGTTGAATTCTAGTACATTTCCTTTTCAAAAACCAAGGGAAATACAGTAATTAAAAGAAAAAGCTGCTGCTTTCAGACTGGAGTTAAGGCTATCTCTGCAAAGCTGATAAAATTAGAAGCTAAGGCTGATGCTTAAACTACCAGAGGTGCCCCATGATTAGTTATGGATGTGGTACAATGTCACATATTGGGTTTTCATGTAACTTGTGCTCCATGTGCCCCCACTGACCCCACTTCCTTGGTCTTTCAGGCCTTAATCTGGATAGAGAGGATGGGGTGCTTGGCTGAGACCAGGACGCCCTCACACAAACACATTGTTTTGGCCTTCTATTTCCTCAGGAAACACCTGAGCCTTCCATATTTGCCCAAAGAACCCTCCTGTGAGCTGACCCCATCAACTTGCCAGCTTTGCCTTGTTCTTTCAGTAAAGTCACGACAAACATTTCCAGTCATTTGAGTTGCATTTATTATTCATATAAAAATAATTCGGTACATTCCCCCCTTTTAAACCACACACCCCGCCGACAACGAAGGCAAGGTCTACAAAAATAATGACACTCATAAGCCTCTTTGCTTCAATAGCGCTGCATTTTTGAAGTCGTCATAGTCCTGGTCCAATTAAAAAGGACAAAAAGAAACAGGCTTGGCCATCATGAAGCACATGCAAGGACATCACAGGAATCGTTTTCAGCAGTTGTGCTGCAAGAATCTGCTGCAGAATCGCTTTTGTCGTTCTATACTGCATCCACCTGAGGGAGACAAGGAGGAAGGGGGGGAGGCAAGAGAAAGAGATTTAAAAACAAATTTATGTAACAGACTGTTCATTTCGGTTTGGTGCCCCTGCCACCAAATTCAAAGCCATCTCTAGGCCATACCACTTTTGTTTCAAATAACAACACTGAGGGAGGTTAAGCCCTTACACCGCTTGTGTGTGTATCATGCTGGATGCAGCCAGTGGACCATTTATCGAACAGGGTTGGGAACTTCCAGGACTCTCAGTTTGGCACTTGTGACACGTCCAAGCCCCACACACCCTTTCCCCAGGCCACTAGTCTTGCTTCAAACTCTCCTTCAAAGTTTTCCCCTGTTCATTCATCTTCCTTCAAAGTTTTTGCCTGTGAACTCTGATAATGCAACTTGCTAGTCTGGATGGGAGGACAGAGAGGGATGTGTGAGTGAGTTTAGAAACTACCGTACCAAGGTAACATTTCCGTGAGAACTTAGGGAGGGCCTGCTGGCTATCAGGCCAATGGCCCATTTAGTCCAGCATCCTGTTCTCACAATGGTCAACGAGATGTCTGTGGGAAACCTGCAAACAGGATTTGAGCACCAGAGCCCTCTCCCCTTCTATGGCTTCCCAAGAACTGGTATTCAAGAATCCTTGGCAAAAATCAATTTTAGAATTTCTCCAAGTTAATATGGAATCCCAGGGGGGTAGGATGCAGACGAGAACATACATATTGGAACAACGAAGTTAGATGAATGGGTGAAACTATTTCAGTCCTCGTATGAAGGCCTCCAGGCTTGAATCATAAGTATCTGGCAGGCCACAAATGATCCAGATGGTACTTTGATGCCATCTAGACTTTCCACAATTGCACACCTGTATCCCACACTAAAATCCTAGCCCAGCTGTAAACATCTACTATTGATATTTCTATCTGGAGGAAAGCAGAATGGCAAAGACTGACCTATGTCTTTGCCATCCTGGTGTCCTCCAGATGGTTTTAGACCACAACTCCCATCAGCCCAGCTTTAGGATGCAGGGTCTTATGGGAGCTGAATTCCAAAACATCTGGAGGATGCTGAGGTGGCAAAGGGTATGGTCGGCAGTGACAGAACTGTGTCCTCTCAGGAGCAAATGCATTTGCACCTAACTAGCCACATCCTAGCCTTATTTATTACTTTTTTCAAATTAAATGACATTATTTTCTTATTTAAAAAACAAACAAACAGGGGAGAACACACACACACACACACACACACACACACACACACACCATGCCTCCCTTATAAAATTGCCAAGGTTTTTACCAAAAGGCACATGGAGTTGGAAGCAGGTGGTACAAACCAGTCGAGATCCCCAAAGCAGAAGCATGTGGTCAGATTAAAAGGCTCAATCCCCCCACCCAGCCTTTGATGGAGGGCAAATCCGAATAATTATAATGAAGGGGCTTATTTCTCAGACTCTTTCTGGCTGCAGTCATTGGAACGAGCAACGCTTAATAATTCCCTTTCATGGACAACCTGCATATAATTGTGATGTCTTGTTTCTTTATCAGCTGGTGATGAACCTGTCTTTACGGGGAGGGAAGTGCCTGCAAAGTGGGGTGGCCACCGAGATACTGTTGGGCTAAAACTGCCTCTGTTCCTGCCCACAGACAAAGCTGGTTGGGGCAGGAGGGTGTAAGGAGTTCAAGAGCAGCTGGAGGACCACAGATTCTCCACCTCTGCAGGTTTGCAAAGGCACAGCAGGAAAGGAAGTGTCCACAGAGGCATGTTCCTGTTGGTTGAGGTCATATTCTGCCCCCACTACGTGGCAACGCTTTCCTTCCCAGGAGTTAAGGAGATGCTACTGATACAGGAAGAGTACACCAGGGTTCCTCAAGGTTTCTAAACTTGCCTTTGGTTTCCAGGACAAAGAGCAGGTTTTGCCCACTGTCAGTTCTCCCAGATTGCAGTCTTGGTCCCTCACTACTGAATGGGGAGCCATCGACCACTGGGCAAAATCCTACCTTCATCAGAACAGGACATATGAATTGAAATCCTTCTTCACACAGCATATAATTTCAACTATGGAACTTGCTCCCACGGGAAGCAGTGGTGGCCATCAACTTGGCTGGCTTTAAAAGAGGATTAGACAAATTCATGGAGAAGAAGGGTGTCAGTGGCTGCTAGCCCTCTCGACCTAACCTACTTCACAGGATTGTTGTGAGGTTAAAATGGAGAAGGGGAAGAACTGTATAGGCCACCTTGAGCTCTTTGGGGAAAGGGTGGGGGTATGTGTATTAATTAATTAAATGCTTGATGAACATAGTTCTGACCATTTTTCATGCGTGCCTGTCTAGACGCTTTAGATTAATGTGGACTTAAGAACAGAAGTAGGGGTGGCAAATCCATCCATTCCAGTTTCTCATTTTTGCAATCCCTTTCGCCAACATTTCCATATTGGTCTGCAAGTGTTTGCTTTCTTAAAAAGTCACCACCAAAATTCATCAGCAGTGGAGATTCCTCCTAATATACACACACAAGTGCAAAGCAATTCCCCCAAATATAATGCATCTTTGTACGTTACAACAGGAGCAACTGAAGAGCAGGTAAACCCTTGAACCATCTTCCTGGTTGGCTTTTGCTGCTACTCTCCCTGAATTGGAAGGGACTTCAAGGATCCTCTAGTCCAGCGGTTCTCAACCTGTGGGTCCCCAGATGTTGTTGGATTACAACTCCCATCATCCCTGAGCTCTGGCCTTGCTAGTTAGGGGTGATGGGAGTTGTAGTTCAACAACATCTGGGGACCCACAGGTTGAGAAAGGCTGCTCTAGTCCAAGCCCCTGCAGATGCAGGAACCACAACTAACAAATCCCTGATAAAAGGCCACCCAACCTCTGTTGTAAAACCTCCAATTCCACTGAAAGGAGAGATGCCAGACAATCCCTGGAAGACCCACCCACCACCGATTTACAGCAGCTGGCCTTGACACTGGACTTCTGGGTTGTTTGGGGAGATGAGAAGGGGGAGATGGGTTAATGTGAATGGTCTGGGGGTTGATCCTTAGATGTTGTTTCTCTGCTGGTAAGTAGGTGGGAGCATTGCTGTGTTTATTGTTGCTAATAGTTTCTATTACTTTTTTGGGAGGGGGCTGGTATTTTGTTTCTGTTTTCCGAATACGTTGCATGCAATATGATACTTCCCTTTTTATTGTTTTAGATCTTATGCACTGTAAATCACTTGGAGACCCTTGCGTGACAATAAACAAATAAGTTTAGTTAATAAACAAAACAACAAATTACTTGGGATGGAGGGCTTTGTTGCAAAATTCATAGAAGTGTGAATTTGGATGGGGGATGGCTGCATTTCTGGTTTTTATGCATTCGTTCAGAAAGTGCAAATTTTGTAGGATTGCCTTTGAATGTAAACTGAACTTAGTTTCTCCTCCCACCCCTGAGCAGAAGAGGGAGTCCCAAAGGGTGGAAGGAGGCAGGAGGAGCCCCAGCTGAAATCTTGCCCTTCTGGTTGCGGAAGAAAATCCATGATGTTCAACTGATCAGTCAAATGCCTATAATTCTTCATTCCAGTGTATCGTGTGGTATTAAATGCTAGGAATTGGGTGCATGGAGTCAAAATGAAAAAAGGAAACAATTCCCCAATCCTTTAAAACCCCAGCCTTTGCCAGGCGTTATCTGGAGAGGTGGCGAATCAGGCTGAGGAGGAGTGGATAGGGAGAAGGTCCCCACTGGCAACATTGCCATTTATACAACCAAGGTCTCAATGAGGCTTTCATAATAAACAGGCCTCGGTGAAAACAGCCCCAAGTGCTCGCAAGGGCTGCCATTATATTATCTCCTGCAGTTTGTACACAGTGGTCATTACAGATTCATTTGCTTTCCCAAGGCGGCAGGCGCAGAAGTCTCCCTCTCTTTGTCCCTTCTCCGTTTTCTCCCCACCTCGCAAGCCCTCCGTGCTAACCAACTCCCTCCCTCTCTCTCTCACTCTCCCTTATTTATTTTTATATTAGCATCTTATTTACAGTTTGACAGAGTTAACAGTATCCCTTGCAAACCATTCTGTTGGCTTTAATCGGGGGAATAATAGGCGCTGTCTGGAGATGAATAGAGTTTAGGGGGCCAATTGTTCCGCAAAATGGAAGCAGTGGGGGTAATTTATTTATGTGGGCACATGTCGGGAGGAGAATAGGCCGGGGGGATCAGTATGCAGGCGAGGATACGGACGGAATTGAGGGGGGGAGGGGGGGAAAACCCAGAAAACCCTGAGCAGAACAGCCAACAATCCACTCTTCACCCCTCCTCACCCACCCTTGAGAACCAAAGGCCTCCGGTGGCCATGAACTTGAGGGGAATCTAAATGTCCCATTCCCAGGCCCTCTGTACTTCTTGGGGCCACGATCAGTCCCGCCTGTGGGGATGTAGGCCTCAGGCTCCAGATGGGCCCACTGAAGGCCGTCCCCACCTCCCCGCATAGTGATAGACAACATGACATGTCCCTTAGCAACCGTACAGTAGCCAGGGCGCAGCAGGGGTCTGGGAAGAGAGGCAGAGCCCTCACGAAAATACAGGAGGGACCCAGACAATGGCGCAAACCCCTGTCATAAATTACACGGCAGCTACAACAGCCGAGCCATCTCCTCCAACATCTTGGGCAAAGATGTTCTGGCCATTCATGCACTAGTGGCATGGGTGCTTTTTACAGGAGAGCCTCAATGCTCTTTCCTCTTCTCTTTCTCTCCCCTTCTCTTGTAATGCTAAAACCCAACGGGGACATCCAAATGAAGCTGGACGTGGGAAGGTTCAGGACCAAAAAAACAGGAAGAGCTTCTACAGTTAATCTGTGGGATTCAGTGACACAGGATGTAGTTGTAAAGCAACTCAAGACAGCTTTACAAGGGGATTAGACAAATGGGTGGAGGGTGATTCTGCCAAGGGTTCTTTAGCTGTGATTCCTGCATTGCAGGGGGTTCGGCTAGATGACCCTTTGGATCCCTTCCAACTCTATAATTCTGAGTTTATCTATAAGGCTATCCATGGCTACTAGCCATGATGGCTGTGCACTACCTCCATGCAAGTTGTTGAGAATCAGAAGTGGAGAGGGCGCTGCTATTGCAATCAGGTCCTGCCTGTGGGCTTGCCATGGACATCTGGTTGGCCAGTGTGGGAAGCTGGATGCTGGACTAGATGAGCCTTTGGGCCAGTAGCCAGGTCTTCCTATGTTCTTATTTCCCAGCCCCACGAGGACTTACAGAATGATGTCACATCGATTTGGTGGGCAGCGGAAGCCATGACACTTACACCACTTTGAAATCATCCCAAATATGCAATGCGGATGCAGCGTTCCAAATCTTAGGGCTTATCCACACTTCCTCTTCTCCTGCTCCTTTCCCCCCAGGGAAAACCGCTCTTTAACACACAGTTGGAACAAACAGCAATTCACCTTTCCCCTCCATTGTCAGTTGTTCCGATCTATTGCTAAAGAGCAGGTTTTCCCTTGGAAAGGAAGGGGGCAAGAGGAAAACTGCTTGGACCCATGCTTCCTTGGCAACGCACAAGCAGAAGTGTGGATGAGCCCTTAGATGTGCTGTTTTAGTGGACACACAACTTTCCCATAACACCACCAAGCTGGATCTGCTCTAACAGAATGGAGCCAAAATCTTTTGCGTTACTTTTATGCCACATGCAATGGGACTTGTTCTGAAGGGAAGGGGGCCATAACTTTAGTGACCCAGTGTATGCTTCTCTTACAATTCCTAGCATCTCTTCAGCTCGCAGTGCCTGACTCAGTACAAGGCCCCGTGAACATATGCAGGGGTAGGGAAAGACAGTGAAAATTTGAAGTGGTAGACTAGGCTGGCACCAGTGCAAGCCGAGGTGCCATTTCCCCTGTATAAAATCCCTGCAAGTAGAGTACTAGCACACCAGGGAGAGAGAACCTAGCCTGCTTCCTGCTGAGCAGGTTTTCCTCTTACGGGAACACTGAAAACTATGCTCTTTCATATGTGTAGACCAGGTCAAAGGCATCATCGTATGTCAGAACCCATAGTTCAGTGGGAAGTCCCAGGCTGTATCTCTGAAGTCTCCTGTCAGGGCCAGCCCAGGAAATTTTCCTGCTAGAGGCAAAGCAAAAAATGCTAGGCTGGGGCACCTCCATAAAGGAAGAATAGGCCGACAAGCGCAAGAGGCAGATCTGCTGCTCTCCCAACTGTGTGGAGCATGCTGTTCTGAGGAGAGCCAGTGTGGTGTAGTGGTTAAGAGCAGTGGACTCGTAATCTGGTGAACCAGGTTCGATTCCCCAGTCCTCCATATGCAGCTGCTGAGTGACCTTGGGCCAGTCACACTTCTTTGAAGTCTCTCAGCCCCACTCACCTCACAGAGTGTTTGTTGTGGGGGAGGAAGGGAAAGGAGATTGTTAGCCGCTTTGAGACTCCTTAGGGTAGTGATAAAGCGGGATATAAAATCCAAACTCTTCTTCTTCTTCTTCTGAGGCCACTGCCTCACGAGTGGTCCGGCCCTGTCTCCAGTTAAAGTGACTGGGTAAGAGTTTTTTTCCTTCCTCTCTCTCTCTCTCTCTCTCTCTCTCTCTCTCTCTCTCTCTCTGCCTCAAAGCAGCTGCCAACTGCCTGACTCAGAACATGTCAGCTTCACGGATCAGTCCACAGAGCACATGCTGAAGGCTTTCCAAGGTTCAGTCCCCAGTGGATCAAGTTGGATGGTGGCTCTTTTTAAGAGTTCAGCCAGGCCTGCTATCAGCGAGGGGAAGCAATGCTACACTAGCCAGTGGAGTTTAGGAGCTTCATCAGTCATCCAGTGTAAAGAGAGGGATGGAATATGAGCCTTAGGGTCATTATGCTGTAGCAACAAATATTAAGAGACACGCTTGGAACTGTCCAGCTTGCAAAGCCTCTCTGCAGTCTCCCAGAAGCCAAATAAATCTATGCAAAATAACAGAAAATAAAATTCACTCTCATAATGGCATTCTGCACAGAGTTTGGCTCTCCGCCATGCAATATTTGGATCCTTCTTTGAGGACAAAATGCACACATATATTCACAGATCTCTAGCATAAAGTTCTTTTTAAAATAGGGTTAAGGACATAAGAAGAGCTTGCTGGATCAGGCCAATGGCCCATCTAGTCCAGCATCCTGTTCTCACAGTGGCTGCCCAGATGCCTGTGGCTGCCCTCTGCCCCCCTGCAGTTTCCAGCAAATGGGATTCGGAGGAACTGCTTCCTCTAACTGCAAAGTCAGAGCATAGCCTTCTTTTAAAGCTATCCAGTTTGCTGGCCATCACTCCCTCAAGTGGCTGAGAGTTCCATAGTTCAACTAAGTCCCGTGTGAAGAAGATGAATCTGCATTCAACTTGCTGGTGCCTTCCAGGTGTGCTGGACTACAGTTCCCATCATCCCCAGGTAAACGACTGCAGAACCATATAAATGATTAGACTGGACCATGGCAGAACCCACAGAGGCACATTGTGGCTCCAACTCCATAAGCTACATGAGGTCAAGAAAAGCAGTTGGCTGTTGTTGGGGAGGAAAATACGAGCGCAGCCAAGTTGTAGGAAAGGGAAATAAAATTCCACAGCCTCCCAGGAATACAATGATGCTCTATTCCATAGATCTCAGAGGCTAATCCTCTTCCTTATTAATTGGCATTTGGGCTAAGCTGATTTAAACCTCTTCACCCTGTTGGGAGACGTCCCCCCCCCCCCGGCAAGAGTTTTCTTTCTTCACTTTCTCTCTCTCTGGCCCAAAAAACAACGCTGTCATCACCACGACACACAATGGCATCTTTGTATGAGGAGTTGGGGGGAGAAGGAATACTGAACCAACTCTGGAACAATTAAGAGTTTTGTGAATTAAGCAGGTCGTTGGCAATGGAACTGCTTTGGTGGGGCTTCGTTAATCAATGTGCCGTCTACACCGCAGCCCGGTCCTTTCACAATTCCTCCCCCCACCCCAGCCCCGCAATTCCCTTCACCCAGCAACCCTTTGGCCTCCACTCAGCTAACTAACCTTTTGCTCAGGTCAGCCTTTGACAAGCCTACCAGCACCACCGAGGGGGGAAAATACCTCTTGTTGGGAAGGGGGTCTGAGCGTGAGCACACACAGGGGGCTTGCTGAGGGAGTGAAGAATACAGAAAGCAGGACTCACTTCACCGACTCTGCTATGGTAGGCCAACCCCATCAGGGTTGCCTCTGTGGGAGAGATGGGAAGCAGAGGGGTCCTTCCATCAGCTTTCTGAAAGCCCAGCTCCATCAGGCACTTCCTAGACCAGCTGGTCATTTCTGGAACAGCCGTTTAGAAATGGATGCCCAAGTTGTGATTCTGATCTTCCTCTTTCCTCCTTGTCCCTTTTCCCTTGTGTGTCATGTCTTTTAATTGTAGGGATGGTCTTGTTTTGTTCGTATGTAAACAGCTGTGGGAGCCTTTTTGGCTGAAGAGTGAGCTGCAAATGCTCTGACTAAAATAAATATCTCTCTTGTGTGAAGGTGCTATGGACACAAATGGACCCAGATGTCTCCTGAAGCTGCTCCAGAAGGTCCCATCAGAGGTCCTTCTTTCCTGCTCATGCCCTGCACTGACTGGCAGCAGCTCTCCATGGTTTCAGGCAGGAACCTCTCACAGCCCTACCTGGAGATGCCAGGGACTGAATTTGGGGACTTCTGCATTCAAGGCAGATGCTCTGCCACTGAGCTAAGCCTCCCCCCACCCTGTAGTTTCAGAACATTTGGAAGGGCATAGTTATTTTATTTGATAAAGAGAAATGGATTTTAAAAAATAAAGAACAAATTGATAGCCTTCCTTCTCCCCCCCCCCCCCTCTCTCTCTCTCTCTCTCTCTCTCTCTCTCTCTCTCTGTGTGTGTGTGTGTGTTAGGGATGGGCAAATCTGTCACTGCTGGTTTCTTTCAGTTCCCCATTTTGCCATTCTTAAATTCAGTTCTCAGTTCCACATCTGCTTGATATATATGTGTGTGTGCCTCCATCCTGGCTGGTGGGGGCTTATTTTGAATAGATTTGCATAGGACTGGCAATTCAAGTCTGAGTAAGCTATAATGAAAAGTGAAGCAGGTGATCTTTATTCCAGATTAGTTAATCCAGAATTCTTCTGCTCCTGGCTCGTGGCCCTCAACTAGATAATCCTGGAGAGAATGAACCTCTCAAGAGAAAAAGGGTTGCCTAGCCCTGCTCCAGAAGATGCCACCATGGCCAACACAGTCTTCTGAGGAAAAGGGCATCACATCAGCACAGGTGAAGCAGTAAATAGCTTCCAGCCTAGATAATGTTTAGATTAAGGTCTCAGCTGCAACATTTCCCGTTCACCTGTAGTAATGGAGGAAGGCCTTCTAACAGCAAACACACTGAGCATTGGAGTGGTATAGTGGTTAGTGTGTCAGACCAGGCCTGAGAGACTAGGGTTCAAATCCCCACTCAGCCATGGAGCTCGCTGAGTGACCTTGGGCCAGTCACCACCTCTTAGCCTAACCTACCTCACAGGGTTGTTGTGGGGGTTAATTTAGGAGGGGGAGCACCATGTACGTCACCTTGATCTTGGAGAAAATGGAGGGATATGAAATGCATTAAATAAAATAGCAAGCGAATAATTGAGAGATCTGACCTTCACTAATGTGTCTAATGCTATAAAACCTGATGCAACAATGCTTCTTCCATGGTCTCTTTCACTCTGCAGCTTGCTGTTTCATGAGTCAAGCTGTGAATTCTGTCTCCCTCAGAGAGGACCAAGTAAAGTTTTTACTGGTAGACGCTGATCCACGGATTTCTCACGTGGTAGCGGTCTTTGTGGTGAAGGCTATGAAAACTAGGGTATGGTTCCTGGATGAAATGGTGAGGTCCCTCCCATTGCTCTCCTAACCTGTTGCCGAACCTTCTTCCTTGAATGGTGGGGTTTTTTGGGTAGTTTCCTTGCTGGGACAACATGGCATGAATTTTAGCTTACTTTTATAATCTTTCTGGTTTATCTTTTAATAATGTTTTATGGTATTTTGTGTAAAGGCATGGACCTCACAAATTTAATAAATTTGTTGTTGTTGTCTCCCTCAGAGAGACCCTGAGCGCTCCCATGGTCCATCAGTCAGACTCGCATTAGTGTGTGGAAAAAATCAACTAATGACAGAAGTTTTAGTTAACGACAGACATTTAGGTAATGACTGAAGTTAAGAGTCAGGCAACTCTTCTAGGGTAGCTTTGTAAGTGGCTGGTCCTTGCCTTTACTGTACTAGTCACAAGAGTTGAATGGAACCACCAGTTTACAGCTGCTGGGAAGAAAGAAGAGGAAGTCATGTTCATGACTTGTTTGTGGGCTTCCCAGATGGATCTGGCTGGCCACTGCCAGAACCAGAATGGCTGCAGAGATGCATCACTGACCTGATTCAACAGGACAGTTCTCAGGTGAATTGCTGAATTTGGAAGCTTATGGACATCCTAGGCTGGCTTGTTTCTTCACTTGATCTCAAGGAGTGATAGCTTCCCTGAAGTCCTAAACTTTTCAAAATTTTGCTGTTGTTTGGCTTTATGGTGATCCATTGGTTTGTCATTGTCAGATTATATAGGTCAGGGGTGGGGGGGGAGAGAAAAAGAATAGAAGAGCTCTGGAGATAGTCAACCTCATCACCCAAAAGTCTTTCACATCAACCACATGATACATGGTGCTACTGTGTCATTAAAACTAGGAACAACATGCTGAGAAGGATGAAGACATAATTCCCTAAATAATTATGTAGGAAAATGAATTTTAGGAGGCACAACATCTCATTCTTGGAGCACTATGACAATGATGATAAGATGTGCTAATAATAATAATAATAATAATAATAATAATAATGCATTTAAATAACTCAGAACAGACGCACTGAAATCAAGGACCATAACTACCTTAAGCCCATCCATTTTAGTCGGTCTGTTCTGAGTGGGACTTAGCTGCATAAGACCCAAAACTTTTTCAAGGGAGAAGAAATGTTACCACACCCATCACTAGAAATTTCATAGGCCTTGCTTTTCAACCATTCCCCCTGTGTGAGTTAGGGGTGAAGGAGAGAGCACATGCCCTCTTCTACTCAGAAACTAATTATTGTTTTTTGTCTGTAGGAAGACTCCATTATACCCCATAACAAAATACTGTTTTTCAGAAACACCTGGGGGAAAACCAGGGCTCATTGGTAGAACATCTACTTTGCCCGCGGAAGGTCCCAGATTCAATCCCTAGCACCTCCAGGCAGGTCCAAAGAGAGCCACTGCCAGTCAGTGTCAAGTTGTACTGAGGGATATGGACCAAAGGTCCATGAGGCAACTTCAAACGCTCCTCTGGTGAGCAACAACTGAGCACTACTTCCCCTAGAACTACTCTGCTTTCGAAAGAGGTGCAACATACAGACTAACATCAAAAAAGAATATATATATATATAAAGTGTGTATATATATGTGTGTGTGTGTGTGTGTGTGTGTGTGTGTGTGTGTAGCAAATAGACAAGAATGCTCAGGCTAGTAGCTTGTGTCACTTTGTCTGGTAATCACACAATCGGATGTGCCTGTGTCATTTTGTGAAACCGTCCAGCCACAACAACCCACACCAAAATAATCTTCTTTTTAAAAGCAGATTGAGTTGGTGCATGTAGTGTTGCTCATATGTGGGCCCACACTGGACAATTCATGAGGTAAGTTCTGAACTGTGCAAATCCACCAAAATCTGAGACACATAACCAGTCATGTTGCTCAAGACCTATGTGAGGGATCCGCCATTTTATAGATGCCAGCTACCTAAAATGGTGGTTCGTTCGCTCTCTTTCTCTCTTTCTTTCCCTTTCTTTCTCTCACACACAGTTTGTTGTCTCTCACCTCACACCCTCAGAAGGAACCAAAAGGAAGGGGGAAAGAGCTCAGGAGGAGATGAAGGATTGCAGGAAGTGGTTGGGGGAGACAGTAACAAATGCTAGGATACACACTGATCCTGACAGGCCTCTCTGTCTTCCACAAAGAGGCAGGGGGGAACTGGTTGTGTGTTAAATTCTTCACTGTTTGGGGGGGGAAGCAAGCGAAGGGGGGTAACTGAAATCTTCCCTTTTGTCTTTGCTGAAATCCCTCTCCCCAGATCGCCCGCTTTGACTTTTCCCACAGAGGTAGCCAACAAACCGGGAATGCAAATGATGTTCATTATGCAAATGCATGCAAATCAGGTTTAACTATTAAAAGAAAAGGAGAAGAGATGGGCTTGGAATGCCTAATGAGAGGGGGGGTTAATGCCTTTGCTCTCCACCATGATCGTGGTGAAAGGAGCTTGTGTCTGCCTTTGGCGTGAGTTCTGCTGCTGCTGCTCTTGTGATGAATTATCTAATCCCCCCCAAATCCTGAACAAACCATTCCCACCACCGCTTGCCTCTCACAAGGTACCCTCCCTTCCTCCTGCCACTCCCAATCTGGAACAGACTGGTCATTAGGAAGGCACACCAGGCAGGCGGTAGCGCCTCTTTCTCTACCCCCCTCCCCACCGCAGTCTGCTTTGCCAAGGGAGACTCATGCGCAAGCGCATAGGTGGAATATGATAACGGACCCGGGCAGTGGCAAGGAAAACAAAATGATGGCCTGGGATTGGCTAGTTCTGTAATTAAAATGCATCTGCAGAGAGAAAGAGAGAGAGAGAGAGAGACAAAGCAAAATTAAGCCTCAAATTCAAATGGTAGCCACAACCAAAAGAAGACACGACGGCTTGGCGGTCAAACATTGACCGCGTCAGTTTAACCGTTAAAATCTGCACACAAACCAAACAATCGTGATGGGAGGCCTAATTGGTCCTGTCTAAACTAGGCTAGAGTCTCAGGGCCTCCAACATCTCTGCAGATGGAAATCAGGATCTGTTTGGAACACTCCAGTGTTTAGACCAGATTCCTTCCATCCTCGACGCCCCCAATTCTTTCTGTGCCTCCCTGCCTGATTTCATGGGTTCTGCAGTTGCTTGCCCGCCATTGATTTAAAACCCAAGATGCCAATGGTCCTCAAAAAAGCAGCCAAATGACTGTCACATGGAAGATGGAGAAAACTTGTTTTCAGAACCTGAAACCGATGGATTCCAGTGATAAAAAAAGAGGCTCTGACTATATATTAGGAAGAACTTTCTGAGGGCAAGAGCTGTTTGACAGTGGAATGGATGACCTCACAAAGTGGGGAAGTCTTCTTCACTGGAGGTTTTTCAGCAGAGGTTGGAAGGAGATCTGTCAGGGCTTCCTTAGCTGTGATTCTTTAACTGTGCAGGGGGTGGGTTGGACTTGTTGATCCATGGGGTCCCTTTCCCACTCTACAATTTTATGATTCTACATAGAGCGACACTATTTTGTTACCGTCCTTCTCCTACATTTTTTCCCCTCGTCTGAGCTTGACAATCTTTTTGGAAGCAATATGATTTTTCTTTGGAATGATGAAGGGTCTGGCACAACAACCTCTAGGCTAATTCCCAAGGCATCAGGGATAAGGTGGACCAGGATCCTAGCCATCTCTTGAGATGTCCTTGCTTTAGCCAACCTGCTTCCTCTTCCAGGTGTTTTGGACTACAACTCAACATCAGCACCAGGATCCAGCCTGATATGAACTGGTAGTTGCTGTAGATGAGAGGCATTGCCCATCCTCTCAAACACAAAAGGAATGCTTCTTGAGATGGCATTCGAGAATACAAATAGCTGCATTAAAAAACAACTCTAAAATCTGCTGCCTAGTTCACTGCGGCCACCTTTTCATTTGATCAAAATCTTTTTAACCAGATTAGACGGTTTAGGGTGTGTTCACATGACAGCTTATTCCACACCCAGTGTGCTCCCACCACTGATTTTCCCTTGGGGGCCCCTGGTTGACCACTGTGAGGCTGGATTAGATGGGCCCTTGGCTTGATCCAGCGGCCTCTTCTCATGTTCATATAAAGCACCCTGTTTATACCCTGCACATCTTGTGCAATTTCATCTTGGCTTTAGCCACCGCTCTTCATCTCATGGCTGGCATCCACATTTGGTAGAGAAGGCAGCTGCCCAGGACCCATGGAGGGCTCAAGAGCCCGGCAGGATGAAGCCTTGGACGGAACGCCATCGCTAATCCGTTATCCCCGCCAGTCACCTGCTGGATTAAGGATTCCAGAAACGGCCTGAGCAGCACTGCCTGGATTAATGGTGCACTGGGTGGATTTAAAGACCGTGCAACTGAATGAGTGATGTGCTCTTGCTGGGAAACTGGCGGCTGCATAGCATTGCCACCTGGAGAGGATTTCAAGCCTCTTCCAATTGCGGGGGTAGGGGGGCACAGTCTCTCATCCTCCTCACCAGGAGGACAAAAATAACTAATAACCCAGCCACAGTTCTTTACGTCAAATAAAGAGTCCCCTTGAACAGAGGGTAGGGTGGCAAATGTAGCCACAAATGTTTCTGCCCATAAGGAAAGGCAAGTATGTATTGTTCCCACTCCAGGATAATAAGAACATAAGAAGAGCTTGCTGGATCAGGGCAATGGCCCATCTAGTCCAGCATCCTGTTCTCACAGGGGCCAACCAGATGCCCCGATGGGAAAGCCACAAGCAGGCCCTGAACCCTCTCCCCGTCTGTGGCTTCTAGCAGCTAGCATTGCTACTTCCAGCCATGGAGGCAGAGCATAACCATCATGGGGAGTAGCTGTTGATAGCACACTCCTCCAACGAATTTGTCTGCCTTTCCCAAGGCCTTGAATTATTATTATTATTATTATTATTATTATTATTATTATTATTTATACCCCACCCATCTGGCTGGGTTTTCCCAGCCACTGGGTGGCTTCCAACCGAATATTAAAAACAACACAGTGTCAGACATTAAAAACTTCCCTAAACAGTTGTCTTTTAAAAGTAAAATCGTTGTTTATTGCCTTGACATCTGCAGGGAGGGCGTTCCACAGGGCAGGTGCCACTACAGAGAAGGCCCTCTGCCTGGTTCCCTGTAACCTCACTTCTCGCAGTGAGGGAACCGCCAGAAGGCACTTGACGCTGGACCTCAGGATGATGGGGGTGGAGACGCTCCTTTAGGTATTAACAAATTGACGAATGAGTGCCCTCATTCTTCCAGGTTCCCAAGCTCCCTTGCGCTCTCTCGCTCTCTCCCCCCACTTCTGCTCTTTACATCATGTCTCCTTTAGGGGCACTGAGATGAAATCTGCAAGAACCATATATCAGAATGGTGACCATCACTGCCTCCCTGTGGGACGAGCTTTTGAGTTTAACAATAGCTCTTTGCTGCAGGTTTACCTGAAGTGCTTGAAATTACAGCTGGTTCTTCCAATGCCCATTTTATACCTAGCTATTGATGATTCGAATGTGAGTCCCGCCATGACAAAGAGATGTTCAGCAGGAAATTGGCAAAGGCAACCACCACCAAGTGGAAATGGTCGACTAGCGTTTTTTGGACCAATCTTTGCCAGTGGGCAAACCAAATTGCTTAAAAGCTGCTCCAAAATCCTAAGACCAAAGGCCCATCTAGTCCAGCTTCCTAAGGGCAACAGGTGGTAGTGATATGGGGGGGGGCTGTGGCTGCTCCCATATTGTGGGGTTCCTTCTTTGTTATCCTTCTGTTGGCAGACCAATGCCTTTTCATTTATGAAGGCCTTTGGAAACCAAGGGGCAAAAGATGCTGTCCACTGGGCTGCTGCCAGGGCAAACTCTCTTTTAATTGCTTGTTCTAGATGTGTTTTGATTTTTTAACTGTTTTTTCCAACTAGTTTCGTTTTATTAATTTGTATATTTGTTTGCTTGCTTGTTCATTTAATGTATTTATATCCCACCTTTCTCCCAAGTTGGGATTCCTACATTTAAAAACGTCATTATAAAATACAAACAAACACATCACCCTCTTATTCTGGGGGTAGTAAGCACAGCCACTGCAGCTAATAGTCATTGATAGCCTTATCCTCTATGAATTTGTCTGAACCTCCTCTAAACTATTCCAAATTGGTGTCTCCCTCTACATCCAAAGGAAGCAAATTCCATAGTTTAACTATGTGCTGTGCTTAAAAAGTTCTTCGTTTTGTCTACCCCGAATCTCCCAATATTCAGCTTCATTGGGTGATCCTGCTGGATTACGATAATATGAGGAGGGATGAGAGAGAAAGTTAATTTGGTTCACATTTAAAGGCGAACCCACGTAATTCATGCTTTCCTAAATGATAAAGAGAACCAGAAAACAGCCATCCTTCGAAATTTACACTTCTCTGAATTTTATATAGTGCAGTTCTCCAGTACAAAAACACACTTACTGGGGTAAGCTGTGCATAAAAATGCATATGTTGGTGTAAACAACACACATTATAACATATCATGCATTATATTGAGGGAAATGTCTTTACAAAAGTGTGTGCACAGGGCAAAACTGCACACAAACTTGTGTCTCTTAGAAAAAATTCACACAAAAACGCTCATGAATTTTCAATATGACTTTAAAAAAAATATTGACAAACTGATGCGGAAAAGTGAAGAGCTGAAATTCTGATTAGAAAACAGGAAAAACCCAAAATGGCAGATTCAAAGCCCCCCCCCCCCCCACTATGAGAGATGGTGGGGAACACTTTTACACACCACTGTCATGTTATTCACCTTTCTTCCCCCTAATCGAATAAGCTGCAGGTGTTGTCATCTTTCCTCATAGGAGTCACTCCATCCCCTTGATCAATTTGGTTGCCCTTTTCTGAACCTTTCCCAGCTCAACAATACCAAAACTGTATTCCAACTGGGGTTGCGCAGCACAGACAACCGTTGCAGGAAAGTAACAGTAAAGACCTAACTATTTGCAAGAGGTTTTGTGAGATGCCAGCATGCTACTCCTACAGAGGTGGTGGCTCAAATGGCTTTTTATTTTTATTTTTGTTTATTGCAATTTTAACTATTTGCAGCTTTTTCAACCTGCTCTTTTAATTGCAGTTGTCGGCTTTAAAACTGTTGCACCCCCACCCTGAAATCTTAGGATGGAGCTCAAGCTAAAAGTATCCCCAATAAATTGCAATCCCTCTTTGAAATGTTTATTTCCCCCCTCCCGTTTTTGGCAACGACTTCTGCAAATAAGATTGTGCAGGTCTACGCAGCCAATCTGATGCCACATAGAAAGTTGGGTCACGTGCCTATGAACATGGACTTGGGAGTAAGCCCCATCAAATACAGTGGAACATACATCTGAATACCCACAAACAGGGTTCCACTGTGAGACAGTGATGGTTTCACAATGCCTTCAGGCGTAAGGGAACGAAACCAGCCAATCAGACTCCACTCTGTACATTCCCCTACATGTTTCCGCTCGACCACTTTGATCTGTGAAACTGGCACCACTACAGGTGCCACATAATACAGTGGTACCTTGGGTTACAGACGCTTCAGGTTACAGACTCCGCTAACCCGGAAGTAGTACCTCGGGTTAAGAACTTTACCTCAGGATGAGAACAGAAATTGCGCGGCGGCAGCGGGAGGCCCCATTAGCTAAAGTGGTACCTCAGGTTAAGAACAGTTTCAGGTTAAGAACGGACCTCCAGAACGAATTAAGTCCTTAACCCGAGATACCACTGTACTCATTCCGCATTGGTAAGACCTTCGGGTATAGGGTGGTATAGAATTTAAATAAATAAATAAATAAATAAATAAATACGAACTCAGTCGTTTAGTGTGGCAGTGCCTAAATTTGGAACTCCCTGCCTTTTGAGATCAAGCTGGCGCCCTTCACTGTACTCTTTTCAGGACCTGCTAAAAATATTCCTGTTTAGGCACCCCTTCAGCTCTCCCCTCTTGACATAGAAGCCAACTCCTAGGGGCCAAGGGATCTTTGCCCCCCTCCCATAAAATATTTGATGGGGCCCACCCCACAAAAAAGTTGATGAGCATTGTCATTCAAATTTTGTGCGTGCTCCACACCATGTGATCAATTATGCAGGGTGGGGCTTGCCTGCCCCCTCCCACAATATTTTATTCAAGTTGGCACCCCTGCCTCTTGATAAGCACCACGGCCTTGTAGTTTTGGAAGACAGAAGACAATTGGAGCCCGGACACCCATGCTGCCCCCCAGCCAGAGGGGGTGGGCTGGGCAGGCTCTTGCTGGCTGGAGGCCTCTAAGCTGAGGCTGCGTGGGGTGTCTCTTGAGAAAGCGGAGTTTGGACTAGTTGTCCTTCACGGTTAACTAGTCCAAGTCTGTGACTCTCCAGCAGTGCTTGCCTGTTGTCATTTGGGTGGCAAGGACTTTTAATATTTTCATTCCATGCATGTTATGGTTTTCATTGTTCTGCTGCATGGCTGCTGCTTTTGCCCTTTTGCTGTTTCTAAAGTTTGCACTTCATATTATGCACACTTTTCAATAAACACAGGGCATTTTACAACAAAGAAAAGGTGTTTCCCCGGAGCTTTAAGATTTCAGACACGTGGAAAAGAGTCCACTTCTCAATTAATACACTTAGCCTGGTTGTTGTTGTTGTTGTCGGTGCTGTTTTAAAATTTAACTTCTGCAGAAATCAGTCTGCAGAGTCACACCAAGAAAGAGGAGAAAAGAAATAGAAAAGAAACGTAATGTTTAAATCGCCCTCTTGGAAAGCAAGGGAGGGAGAGCGAAAAGACAATAACATTCCCGAAGGCAGAATGCTGAGATGGAGGAGAGTCGCTGCGTTTACCCAAGACCCACGCTCCTTAGCAAAGCGCAATCCACACGTCTTTCTCCAAACCCTGCAGTCTCAACAAAAGCGTCTTTCAAGGTTTTCCAGATGCAAGTGCTTCAGCTCAATGAGCCAAGCACACCCACACACTTCCGAGAGAGGCCAGCGGCTAGCTGGAGAAGACAAGGGGAAGAAGGGGGCCTTTCTGCCAGCCCCTCGCTGATATCACCACAAGCAGGAAGACCTTTCAATGTGGGCATTACTGGAGATAAAAGCAATGATAACAACAATAACTTATGCTCCACTTTCCCTCCGAGGAGCCTGAGATGATGTACAACAGGCATAGGCAAACTCAGCCCTCCAGATGTTTTGGGACTACAACTCCCATCATCCCTAGCTAACAGGACCAGTGGTCAGGGATGATGGGAATTGTAGTCTCAAAAACATCTGAAGGGCCAAGTTGGCCTATGCCTGATGTACAAAATTCTCTCCCCAGCTCCAATGTATCCTCACAATGACCCAATGAGGGTATATTAGGCTGAGAGGCTGTGGCCGGCCCAAGGTCACCCTGTGAACTTCATGGCCAAGTGGGGATTTGAACCCTCATCTCCCAGGTCCTAATCTGACACTCTAACCACTGCACCACACTGGCTCTGGAGGGGGCAGAAGACCATCTCCCAGAATTCACCCAGCCTGGGGGCTTTAAGGGTTAATAGGGTGTGTGGTGGCAGCATCCCCAGATATTTGGGGACCCAACTGGTCTATCTGGCAAGACAGTTGTCCAAGTAAAGGCATGAGCAGGCTCTCCTAGCTCCTCCATCCTTCCCTGTCCATGGGAAGCCTGTTTTCACGGTTATTTCTATTGTCCCTAAGCAATCCTTGCAGCCTAACCCAGAACTTGCATTCCCTGCCCTGGACCTTAGCTCAAGTAGTGCTAAGGGTCATAAAGAACTACAGTGGTACCTCTGTTTAAGAACAGCCCTGTTTAATGTTATGTGGGATGTGGCCTTATCAGAAAGTTTCACCTGCCACAGAAGGGTTCTACAAGGAACTTCCAAAAGAGACAAGTTTGGCATGGAGTAGCATCCATTAATTTCTTACATCATTGACTATGAAAGCGAGTTCCCATTGCCCACTACTCAGAAAAATATTTGGAAAGGTTATTTAAGTAACTGATTTGTCCAAAGCCCAAATAAGGGCACTCTTGTATTGTTTAGGTAACGCAAGTTATGATACTGGACAACAATTTAATGCTTTTTTTGTGAAAAATCAATGAAATAAGCTGGGGGGGGGGACTGTTTGAAACACCCCCCCCCCGGAACCATTTGGTGAAGGTTGGGCTATAAAAGTAATAATAATAAATTATACAAAATATCTGACCTGTCTTATCCTGCTGCCCTCAGGATCTCACTAAACTTAACATAAAATCCAATATATCATATTCTTTATCACTCCAGAAGTACTTCAGACTATAGATAAGGCTATATTATGCATTATTCTACATGTAATTTCATATGTGCTTTTGTATGGCAGAGAAAAATTAAGCTTGAGATTCATAGAAATCTCTGGATTCAGAGGCCAGCAACTGATTTAATGTTCCTTCCCCTCCTCCCCGAATTCCAATGGAACAGTTGCTTCCACAAGCCACCTTATTTCCTACCCCTCTGCAAACAAATATTGTTTGCAACTGCTTGCTTTACAAGCTGAACAAATGCAGTTTTGTGGGTGATCTGGGGATGCTGCTGAGTCATGGTTTCTGGACATGCTACAACTTGAATTTTCATCACCAGGAGGATCCAGGCAGGCTTAAGGCCCCCAGAAAACACCCCCAGGCCAATGTCAGGTGCTCTGCCAACATCACATCTAATAACAGCCAGGGCGTAATCAGGGCGACATCTCTGGCAGCAGAACTGTATCTCTAAGATCGCCCAAAGCCACAATATTTGCCACTTCAGGCTGAGACGGCCATAATGAATCAGGATGATGCCTCAGGCAGGTCACAAGGTCAAATTTGAGTGTAGGAACATCAGAAGAGCCTGGCTACTGGATCAGGCCAAAGGGGACCCAGTATCCTGCTCTCACAGTGGCCAGCCAGCTGCCCCAATGGGGAGCCCCCAAGCAGGACCTGAGCTTAAGAGCCTGCTCCCCACTTGCGCTTCCTCCCTGAAGTTGGGGGTGGTAAGCCTCTGAATATCAGCAGTTGAGGGAGCATATAGCCATCATGGCATCCCTCCATGAATTTGTCTAACCTGCTTGCAAAGCCATCTAAATTGGTGGCCTTCTCTACCTCTTCCGGGAATAAATCTCACACATGTCCGTCTGGGGCCTTGAATGTGTGAAAACAACCGAACTGTAGTAGACTCCACTTGCAGCCATGCCACTACACCAGCCTTTCCTAATCTGGTTCCTCCCAGATATTTTGCACCACAATTCCCATCAGCCCAAGCCACCAAGATGCCGGGGTTGTTGAAAGCACAGCCCCAGGGGCTGATGGGAGTAGAAGTTCAAAACATCTGGAAGAAAAAAGGTTGCGGAAGACTGCTTCACCTCTTCTTAACTGCACATGTGTGATTTAACTGATGTAGGATCCACAATGAATCATCTTTGCTGATGATATACAAAGGGACATGAATTCAGGCAGCTGGCTGCCCAGATTTTTATTTTCCCCTCCCACATTTCTAGAGCCAAAAGGAGAAGAGGGGGGAAACTAGTTTCAGATAAATAAATATGTTGTTGTTGTTTAGTCGTTTAGTCGTGTCCGACTCTTCGTGACCCCATGGTCCAGAGCACGCCAGGCACTCCTGTCTTCCACTGCCTCCCGCAGTTTGGTCAGACTCATGTTTGTAGCTTCGACAACACTGTCCAACCAAAAATAAATATACCTGCTCTTAACTCACACCGCGCACACAAAATATCCCCCACCCCTCAAATGTTGAGAAAAGCATTTCCATTCAATGCCATGCAGATCCCAGAACGTCCTGTCCTTGGAGCTTGCTCCAATACAAGCTACTAATGCTGACCTAGTTTCTGAAAAATTGACTCAAATAATCAATAATCTCAAATAATCAACTAAAACTATAGTTGATTACATTTCTCAGCTCCGTGTTCATCAAAAGCTAACCCTAAATCCACAGAGGGTGGGCTGGCCAAGGGCCTCTTCTCCACTTGGCACGTCATCCTGAAGCACATCACATCAACCTTTGGCCAACTTGGAAAGTCACAATGACTATCCTACCCTCCCCTGTTGGAAACAGGATACCTTGAAATACCAGTTGCTGGGAGTTGCTCACACGTCCAACTGGTGGTCTTTCACATAACATCCAAAGCTGCTCTGTTGCCCTTGTGTGCTGGGGCTGATCTCATGGGCTTAAAATTTAAAGAGAGGCAGCAGATCCAGAAGAATTTCAGTTGACGGGTCTAAGGAATGCAGGAATGCCCAAAGCCAGTGCTTAGACCACTAAGCCACCATTGCACCAGGTGATTCAGTGCCTTAATTCCCCTCAGCTCTGAAACTGGGGTCACATTGTTCTCCTCCTACCCGTTCTCTGCACAGGCAGGTCAAATATAACTAGAGCAGAGCTTACTATGCAACACAGGGGGTGGGGGTTGCCTAGCCTCAGTGATCCATGCCCTGGCTGGCAACCCTCACAGCTGGACTACTGCAATGTGTCTCTGCTTGAAAATGGCCCAGAGGTTGCAGTGAGTGCAAAATGCAGCTGCCCAGCTGCTGATCAGGGCAATGAAATGGGATCGTGCGACAGCAATCCTAAAATCCCTGCATTGCCTGCAAGCTCTCCCCTCTTCTAAGCTATGTTTGTGCCTCATACTGGCACACGTGCAAACACACACACACACACACACACACACACACACACACACAAGCTTGTTTGTCCAAGGATGTCTTCAAGGTACTTAGAGTCCAAAAACAATTGGAGGGCTTAACCTCAAGTCCAGTCAGTGCCTTCAGAACATGCAGTTGCTTTCTGTGTTTCATTGTGGAAATACACTGCATTTTCCTAGTGAGAAAAATCGGATCACTTGAGCTTTCTGAAGACGCAGCTTTCCCAGTAATAGATGAAAGATTAGTGTTTGGGTACCCCAAACTAACTCCACAAGGCCTGGCCTGTACATTTTGAACGCTGCCTGCTAGAGTCATGATGAATAACTCCAAAGTGGGTAGTGCTGAGCTCTGGCCATTGGAATGCTCAAACCAGCTCCCAATGCCAACGCAGTCCTGATCAAAACATCAATTATTTCCACGTGTGCCACATCTGCTCTCTTGAAACTTGGAGGCAACTCTCAAGTTTCCCTCTTGAAGTCCTGAGCATGGTCTCCAAGTCAAAGCCCAGACCTGGAAAATCTAAAAATAGTCATACCTCGGGTTGAATACGCTTCAAGTTGAGTGCGTTCAAGTTGCGTTCTGTGGCAACCTGGAAGTAACGGAGCGCATTACTTCTGGGTTTTGCCGCTTGCGCATGCGCAGATGCTCAAAATGATGTCACGCGCATGCGCAGAAGCGGCGAAAAGCGACGCGTGCATGCGCAGACGTGCTGTCACTAGTTACGTTTGCTTCTAGATGCGAACGGGGCTCCGGAACGGATCCCGTTCGTATCTAGAGGTACCACTGTATATGTTGACTCCCACAGACTCTTTTATGAGGGGTGGCATATGGATCATCAACTTGTGTGACGTAAGACAAGAAGTGAAAACTACATTATCCATACCTTGTGCAGAGAAAGGGCCTCTCCTTCTAAGGCTACAGAACTCTCTTGGAGACAAACCATCTCATGCTTTGTCTGGGACTGTCTCTATATTTTTCCCCCTTGCAAAGTGGGCTTCTGAGCCAACTTTTCATCACCAAACTGACCGACTTTGCAGCTGAAGCTGGGTGGGGAGTTGTCTGCCTCTCTTCCAAATTCCCATGCTTGTATTACCCCCCAAATCATTTGAAAACCTGGATCTGGGAAGCAGAATAAACTCTGTGTGATTTTGCTCACCTTGCTTCATTCCTCTCATTGACCAGATTTGGGGTCCCTTACTTAGAATTTGGGGGAGAAGCACTGGCAATGTTTACAAAACAAATGCACTCTTCTGATAGCTTATCAGGACATAAGAGCCAGGCTGCTGGATCAGACGAGAAGCCCATCTCGCCCAGCATCCTATTCTTACAGTGGCCAATCAGATTTCTCCAGGAAGCCCATAGGCAGGGCATGGAACCAAGGGCCCTCTCTCACTGTTACTTGCAAGAATAATAGAATCATAGAATGGCAGAGTTGGAAGGTACCCTGTGGGTCATCTAGTCCTACCCACTGCAAGGTAGGAATCTCAACTACAGCATACATGACAGACGGCCATCCAACCACTGCTTTAAAAGCCCTGCTGGATCAGGCCAAAGGACGTCAATCTAGTGCAGCATCCTGTTTCTACAATCGCCAACCAGCTGCCCCAATGGGAGGCCTGCAAGGAGGACCTGAGAGCTATGATGCTCTCCCACTTGTGGTTCCCACCAACCAGAATTCAGAGGCATATTGCTTTAAGGAAATAGATTCAGCACCGAGGACAGAGGGCTAACACCAAACTTCCCTGTTCTTTGCCTTTGTTCCCTGTTATTTCAGAATCCCTCCACTGCAAAACTCACTCCCCACCGCCAGCATTTCAGAGATGAAACTGGAAACACTGTCCTTGCGCAAGGAATGCTACCCACTCCCTATTTCACTTCCTAGCCTTGAACATGGTGCTAGTAAGCTTAACTATAATTGCACTCTTAAAAGGAAGAATTGGTTTGTCTTGCCACAGCAACAGAGGGTCTTGTGGCCCCTTGGAGGCTGACAAATTTACTACAGCATCAGCTTCCGAGTACGACTGGTCACTTTTCTTTTGCATTGTCTCAAGAGATTAAGATGGCTGCTTTTCTGGAACCGCTCTTGCAATGCATCTTGAAGGCGGTCATTCTACAGCAGCTGCAAGTTGAAAATACGCAGCAACATTTACTATCTAGATAGGTGTAGGTGCGTGTTTGTGTCCCCCCCCCTTTTAGAGAGGAGGGGTGATGGGCTGAACCTCAAGAACAGCAACTCCTAATGAAAGGTACTTTCCAGTCCCAAATCTCCCCAAAGGGCCAAACTGAGACATGATTGGGGCACTATTTACCAGGGGCAGGGACCACAGAAGAGGAACAGCCTCAGGTTAGCAGGGACAGTTGGGGCATATGCCAGCCTAGTGCAGCCCAAGTTGGGCACCTGGTCATCTTGCCACTGCCTGCTGAATCCAGGAGCAGCACGGGCTCTGGAACAGGAGGACTCAAATTATTCTGCCGCCCAAGGGAGAAATTATTCATATCTCCTTTTCAGGGGAGATTTTGTGTTTCCTCTTTGAAGGTTTCCCCCCCACTGCTGCCCTTTCCCCTCCTATTCCCTGAACAGTTGAAGTTGCTCTCCGGTTCAGATCTCCAAAGTATGGGGAATCTCTGACTCTAGGGAGGAGAAAGTGTGGCACAGCAGTACTTGGAGGAAAACACCTCCATGGAGGAGGGGCATTTAAAAGAGGCACAAGGGCTCACAATCCACATTAAGCCAAGATGTGGACAGCCCTTAGTTTTCATTGCATGAAGCAATCTGGAAGAGGGGCACCATCAGGGAAACCTGAGAGAGACTCATATCATTGCTCAGACCCTGATGTCCCAAGTGTGCATGTGAGTGGGGTGGGGGAAGCCAGGCTTCATTTAGGATAGGGGTTGGGGAACCCCTGGTCCTTTGCAGGCAACCTTCTAGAAGCAAACATGGGCAGAGCAAGAGATGAGATTCTTGTCTTTTGTGCAGAAGGCTCCATCCCAGTCATGCAAAAGCCAGAGGTTTCTACACACACTCCTCTACTGTCCATTCAGGCAAGCAAACATCATCACAGCTCGGAAACACATTCCAGCCAGGTAGAAGCACCCAAAAATTGTATGCAATGGGAACAGCAAGGAGTGTGGTCTAGGGAGAGTTCCAGGGGCCAGACGGAGAGGCCTGGAGGGCCGCATTCAGACCCTGTTCCCCACCCCTGTCTTGGGAGCTTTTCCTGATGATCCTGGAAATTTTGCCCCTCGAATTTTGCTGAGAGGTGGTGCTGTGGTCTAAACCACAGAGCCTCGGACTTGCCGATCAGAAGGTCGGCAGTTCGAATCCCCACGACGGGGTGAGCTCCTGTTGTTTGGTCCCAGCTTCTGCCAACCTAGCAGTTCGAAAGCACATCAAAGTGCAAGCAGATAAATAGGTACTGCTCCAGCGGGAAGGTAAACGGTGTTTCCATGTGCTGCTCTGGTTCGCCAGAAGCAGCTTAGTCATGCTGGCCACATGACCTGGAAAAACTGTCTGCGGACCTATAGAGCGAGATGAGCGCGCAACCCCAGAGTCATCCATGACTGAACCTAATGGTCAGGGGTACCTTCACCTTTACCCCGGCCTGCACTGCCTCTTCGGTTGGGGTTCAGCTGGGGTCTTTAGCATAAAGAGCTCCTCCCATCTGAAGCAAAGGCACTTCGACCTCTGACTCTTGAGCATCAGCAAACTGTGGACTGTGTTATGAATCATGCAACAGCCTCTGATGTGCAACCCCAGATCGACTCCTGCATTGGATTTACTACACCCACCACCGCTACCCGCTCCAATCCTAGCCAAATGTCCACTGCAAGCACCCCACTGTTTTCAGTAGTGTTTTTCCCCTCCCTAAAACATGCTTGGGACAACAGCTTTAGAAAGAGACACAAGGCCTTTTGCAGGAGGCGGGAGAGGAAAGACCACTTGTTGCAACCTCTGATCCTGGCGTGATTCCCCGCCCCCCAGTCCTGAGGATGGAGTTTATCATCTAAAATTTCACTTCTGTGTGCCTACATCCACTAGCTTAGCCTCCTCCCCACAACCTATGCCCTCCAGATGCTTTGGACTGCAACTCCCATCAGCCTCTTGCAGCACAGCCATGTTGCCCCATGGTTCCAACCAGCACAACCATGTTGGCTGGGGGTTGATGGGAGTTGTGGTCCAAAATCTCTGGAGGGGGAAAAGCTGATCCAAACAGATTTTGGTGGCACCTCAAAGCAGTTCACAAAAAGAATAAGACAATAAAATTAACAGTAAAAACAGTTAAAGACAACTATTTAAAACGTCTAAAAAATTAAAAACACTGATAAACTAAAAACAGATTCAAGCATCCTATATTATCTGAGTGGGCTTGTCTAAACAAAACTGTTCTTACAAATGTGGAATTGGTATTATGTGTCATCTGTATCACTGCCAGTTCTGCAGATTGAAGCCGTTGAATGGGCATATAATGGGGAAGGAATTTAGGAATTTGGAATCTAAATCAAGGGGCAGGAAGGACAGCGTTCAAATCCCTGCACTACAAAATATTCTAGGATTTCTTAGTTTTTAATGTGTTCATTATTGTAAGGAAGAACTAACAGTAATTCTAAGATTAAATAATTAATTCCACACATGTATTTTTGCACGTACACACACACACACACACACACACACACATACACCATGGAGAATCATTCCCTCTTCTGCCTATTTTGTGTGAACTGCTACTCAATTTAATATTTCTTTTAAAATTAAGAAAACTCACTCCTCTGTTGTATAAGGGTGGCAAGATTCACTGTAAAAGTGCACCAGTAATAATTATTATTCTTTCCCAGTTCTACTTCACCAAAGCTAAACAATATCTTTCCAAATGACTGGGGAAACCATACTGACCGTAATTCCAGGGAATGCAGACGACAGCTGGAAGTCGAATATTTCCTTGTAGAAGAGAGTCGGAAGAATGCAGAGGTGATACGAGGTTCCCCATAGGAGCAACTTCTTGGGATAATCCAGGTCAGCGAGAAAGAAAAGACCAAGAGAGAATTAGAAGAACCTCATAAAAAAATTAGGGGGACATAGGGAATGGCCTTATACATAGGTCTGACCATCTAGCTTAGTATTGTCTACACTGACAGGCAGCACCTGCCTTTTGTATACAAAGCACTGGGCTATGGCCCTTCCTCCACTCTGCTGGCAGGTGCCCAACAGTGCCTTCATCTGACACCAGCCCTGACTGCATGCCTTCCCCTTGCTGACTGGTTCCTCCAGGATCTCCTTGTCTTCTCTTCCTGACATACTTCAACTGTCCCTGAAAAGCAGAAACTCCTTCCTTCAGGCTGGTGAAAAGCTGGCAGGAAGGAAGGCTGAGGGTAACTTCTTCCCGTGGTGATGGTTCCAGATGCCACCTCCAAGCAGGTATTAGGCTGGGATCATACACCAAGCTAAATGGACCAATGGACCACTTGTCTAAAAAGCCTCATCATCATCCACCCATCTGACTGAGTTGCCCCAGCCACTGGGAGGCTTCCAGCAAAATATTAATGCATAATAAAGCATCAAATATTTAAAACATCCCTAGACAGGGCTGCCTTCAGGTGTCTTTTAAAAGCTGGCAGATGGGAGGCTCTTCTTCTCTGCATGTGGATAAATATGATATAAATACAGTGGTACCTCGGATGTCGAATGGAATCCGTTCTAGAACTCTGTTCAACTTCCAAAACATTTGGAGACCAAGGCGTGGCTTCCAATTGGCTGCAGGAAGCTCCTGCAGCCAATCAGAAGCCACGGAAGCCTCACCGGATGGTCAGGTTCCAAAGAATGTTCGCAATCCGGAACACTGACTTCCGGGTTTGTGTCATTCGGGAGCCAAAACATTCGACTCGAAAGGCATTCGGAATCCAAGGTACGACTGTATGGTAAAGGGACATATAGATATTCCCCCCCCCTTTTTTTTCCTCTCCTTACTTTTTTCTCTCTCTTTTTTTTTAATATTCTTGTTCTGTAGAATAATTTGATTCTTATTGTATTTTATGTATTTTTAAAAAATCATTTATTTATTTTTTAAAAACTTCCCAATACAGGGGTGCCTTCAGATGTCTTCTAAAGTTGTATAATCTATCTCCTTGACATCTGATGGGAGGGTGTTCCACAGGGCAGGCGCCACTACTGAGAAGGCCCTCTGCCTGGTTCCCTGTAACTTCACTTCTCGCAGGGAGGGAACCGCCAGGAGGCCCTCGGAGCTGGACCTTAGTGTCTGGGCTGAACGATGGGTGTGGAAACGCTCCTTCAGGCATACGGGGCCAAGCTGCCTATGGCAGAAGCACTTTCCCCAATGGGATCTCTGGTCAAAGCCAACTAATGGAGGCAAATCAAGGCAGCTCATTTCTCAACTCCAAAACCTATGGGAGAGAATTGTGCCGCTGTGGCAATGATCACTAACAGGCCTGCTACCAGAAATGTGCTTCTTGTTGTGGTAGCTAAGGAGAAGAGCCTGAAAAGCAAATACATACTAAACCCATCATGTTCTATGTTTTAGCATTTACTTACAGTGCAATCTCATAGAACTGTAGAGTCTAGTTTAACCCCCTGCAATGGAGAAATCACATCTAAAGAATCTCACACATGTCTATAATGATATTAGATAGGCATGTGCACTGCAAAGTGTTTGGCACTTACTTAAGACTTGGTTCACACAGGCTTTCCATGATGCCTCTCTCATCACGCATTCGAGTCAATGCGTTATGATGTTTTATTGGCATTTTGTGGATTTTATTCCATGCACCACTTTGGAATTCTCCATGATATGTGGAATCCTAGTAATTGCTATGCTGTGCTCCCTACAGATGTGCCACCCATTACACCTTTGCAGTGTAGCTTCCATGGAACATGAAAAGTCAGCAAAAGGGGTCTGTCAGTGGGGGAGGAAGCCAGGGCCAGGGAGCTCCCTCCCAGCCCCCCGGCCACAGCAGTCTGAATAACAACGGCAAAGCAAGATCCAGCCACACAACATCATCAAACATCAGGCCTCGTGTGGCCGTTACTCCACAGCTGCATCTAAGCACAGCTACTCCAAGGATGAAAATGAAATGGGTTTGGGAATTCAGAATGCTTACCTCCAGCTTCTAGCATCCAGAAATGAGACTTTCTCTTTCTTTCTGTTTCCACGTCTTCTATTCACTGCATGAGCATCAAGAGGGCTTTTGTTTCGGTCTCTGTTTTCTTAGAGATCTTTCCTTTTGCTTTTCTAAAAGTCTTCTCTCTTCTCCTCCTCAGGCGTGTAATGGGGTTATTTTTACTTTCGGTTATCTAGCTTTATGAAGACTTGACCCCACTCATACAGCTAGATAACCAAAGATAACAACCAACCCCGGCTATCTACTTCGCCAGCAAGGGCAGCAGCACCAGGAGGAGGAACAGACCTTCCTTTCTCCTCCAGGTCTTTCTTTCTGGGGTCTCTTGGTTGGGGGGAAAAAAGGAAGGGGATAAATGTATTAACACATAAACCCATCCATTTGCCACCATTTCATTTTTCTCAACCCCAAAGGACAGCGCCTCAGAAAATATGAACTACTGTGAGGGTGTGTGCTGGATTTTGTCTACAAGGCTGAGGGTTTCTTCTCTTTCTTTTTTAGCTAAAGTGCTGTGGCCCCGTAAAGATGAACACATTTATTATGGCAAAACCTTTGCAAAACACTGTCCATTGTCAGACGCAAGAAGGGTTCTCTTGGATTATATGCAAGCATATACCTACATGGTTGGGAGAGGGCATATAAAAAGTGAAGTAGGGGGAAATGAAATGCAAAAAGATATATCGCTAAATAAAAATACAATTTAAATAAAATAAAAACTTCAGCACATTAATGCGCTAAAGTTTCCCTCCCAGGAAAATTTAAATTGAGGATCTCATTTAAACTTCTCATTTAAACTTCTACATTATTTCATGCAGGTTGTATTATAAACATCATGGTTTGGCCTCCTTTCCCCCGTTTAAATGTACATCACACATAAGAACACATAGGAAGGAAGTGCCAAAGGAAATAAAATTAACAGCGCAAACCCAACCATGTCAATGCAGAGGGAAATCCTATTGAATGTACACCCAGGTAAGTGGTGATAGGACTGCAGTCTGAAGGCATGATCCTACACGTGTCTACTCATGAGTATATTTGCTTTACAACTGTAATGGTTTTGCATGTTTTTACATCTGTATGCTGCAATGTGCCCTAGAACGTTATGGCAAAGGGTACGAAATCTTCTAGATAAATGAAGTCCCAAGGAGGCCAATGGGATTTGCACCTAGGTCAGTGTGCACAGGATTGCAGCCTATTTAGCCAAAATGAAAATCGGAGGCGTGCTGATTCTGCTGGTGAAGAACACGTAGGATCTCATTTTACCCAGCGTAGCCGCAAACGTGCAGCATCAAACATGCCGACAGAATCCAGAGGTTAGCTTTGCAAGATCCATCAACACATCCCCACGGCTACATTTACAAACCCAAAGATCATGCCCCATCTTTGACTCTGCCACTGCACAGAGGGGGAAAAGAGCCCAGCAAAAAAAAAAAAAAAAAAAAAAAAAGGTCGAGGGTTGTTTTTTGTTCAATTTGCTGGCTGCTTTTGCAAAACAACTCTGTGGCTGGTCACACCACTCAGGAAAACGGTTAGGTTAAAAAACAAACAAATCTAGAACTACTCCTCCCTCCAGATGTATATACCACCCAAATCTCAGCTTTTCAAAATGTTGCCAGGGCTTCAGTCACAATTCCCCCCTCCCAAATAGAAAACCTCCATCTATGAAGCCCCACAGAAAAGGGTCGGGCCCAAGAGGAAGAAGATTGCCTCCTTGCCAATATTCCATTTTATTCCCCCCCCCCGGGTCATTTTACACCCTTCAGATACCAAACAAGTTCAGTCTTTATCGGGGTGCTTGCTTTTTTTTTTAAGTGGGAAATTCCCCTCTCTTTAAATTTTAAAAACAGTTCTGCTAAGCCGTGCTGCTACTTCCCCGGTTTCTCAGAGGCACGCACCACTTGCGTTTACTTTTAAAAGGAAGGATGGTGGGGAAAACTTAAATAGCATTGTTGTATACTTGCGTGTTCCACACGGAAGGGCCGTAGCTCAGAGGAAGGTGTCAGGTTCAGGCCAGCCCCCACCCCGCATCTCCAGGTGGGTCTGGGGAAAGACACCCCCCGCGCGCCTGAAACCCCTGAGAGCCGCTGCCAGTCAGTGAAGACAGCGCTGAAATGGATGGACCAACGGGATGAGGCAGCAGCTTCCTATCTTTCTTAAGCTTCGCTATCCCTCTGTAGGAGACAGTCCCCGTTTCCTGGGGTCCCTATCTCGGGGTGCATGTCTTCAGCCAGCTAGTCGTTACCTACTTCCTGCGGTTTCTAGAAGCTAAAATCGAAGACCCAGCAGCCTTGATCCTCCTTTCCCAGCGCTGCCTATCCAAGTACGGGAAAGCTCTGCCAGCTCTTTTGAACCAAGGACCCACAGACCCGGGACTAGAGGAACCCATCGGTTAAATCATGAACCTTGCGCAGGATTCAGGCTACTCTTGGGAGGAGCCGGATGAAGGCAGAGAAGCCTTTTCCCGAGTGCGCAAGGGCGGCCCTCTTTTCGCCTGTGAGAGTGCAATCTAATTTATAGTTATATTTATACCATATATTCTCAAGCCCCTCTCCATCCTTTGCGGACCCCAGGACGGCGGGGAGGGGAGGCATGAACCATAGCAAAAAGAAATTTTGTTTTTTTAAAATCGTGCAAAAATAGATTTCCAAACAATTAATAGAGCCTCTGTCAAAACGTTGCAGAGTGTGAAGATCTGGGCAGGAGGGAAGCTCCCTCTTCCTGGCGCTGCAACGCGATCCTCGCCATGCCTGCTCCGAAGTAAACCGTATCAAATTCAGCGGGGCTATAGGATCACTTTCGCGGCCCAAACGGAGGCAGCCTTAGCTAGAAAATTCGCAGATCCGCCACCGCAAAGAAATGAAACGAAACCCGCCACCCGGGTCCCAGCAAGAAACTCGCTTCTTGAACTTACGCGGACGGAGGGAAAGCCGCGCGCAGCCTTCGCTCCGGTGAAGATGGGCGTCGGATCCCGCTGCGCATGGGGGTCCCAGGCACCACGACCCCCACCCAGACCCCCGCCCTCCTTTTCCTTTCTCCTCCTCCGCCCAGAAAGGCACGATCCCCCGAAGAGCAAGGCTGGCTGCGGCCGAGCGAGAGCGCGGATTCTGCGCGCCCTGCGGAGCGGGAGAGGGACCCGCGCAGCTCCGGCCTCTCTGGTGAGCACTTTCCCTGCTGCCCGCGGCTCCTCCGTTGAGAGAAAAAGGCAGGAGGCGGAGGAGCGAACGACCCATTCATTCTTTCACACTCGCGCCCCACTCGCCCGCTGCCGATTGGCTCCCTGAGGCTGACGTCACCCGTCCTGATTCTCTCGCCTTCCTCCTCCCCCCCCCGCTCCGCAATCTCTCGCGCTCTCTCCCTCCGCAGCTGCCCCTCCAGTTCCTCAATGGAGCGAGCGAGGGCCGTAAATATTAGAGTAAAGCGCAGCATCCGAAAGGAAGCGCATTGTCGAGCGTCTAGGAAAATAGGAGTCCATTCTTATATAACGCGTCAGACCACAGGGACACCTCGGCTCGGGACTGTGTGTCGACAGCACACAGCTTTCGTTTGCTTATTGCATTTCTGTATCGCGCCGTTTTCTCCCACGAGCTCAAGGTAGCACACCTGGTTCTGTCCCACCTCCTCATTTAATCACCACAACAACCCTGAGAGGTAGGTTAGGCTGAGAGGGAGTGATTGGCCTAAGGAGCGAGGGTTTGAACCCTCGTCTCCCAGGTCCTAGAACTAATCCTAAACACTCTGCCACAAGCAGCCTTCAGAAAAACCCTTTGCCATCACTGGCTGCCGATTGGCTAGGTTCAATGTGCTGGTTTGGGCGCATAACGCCATATACGGTTTGGGACCCCAGGATGCCCGAGAGATCGCCTCACCGCTTCTATACTCTCCTGATCACTGCTCTCCGCCGGTGAGGGCCTCTTGCAGAATCCATCTCACCTGGAGGTCTGCTCTCTGCATGATGTAGGAACCGGGCCTTGGTGGTGGTGGCTTCCTAACCCTTAGAAACTATATTAGACAGGCGCCATCTCTGTTGTATTTCCAGCGCCTCCTGAAAACCTTCCTCTTTCAACAAGCCGTTTAAATCTAGAACTTTCTCAACCAGCACTGAAAATTATTTGGAATATATTTTTGTTGCTTTCTGCCGCCCTGGGCTCCTAGCGGAGAAAAGGCGGGGTACAGATTCAATGAATTACTTTGAATTGGAGGTCGGACCTGGGAACTTTTCCGGGCAAAGTAGGAGCTCTAGTCCACATGTTTCTGACCAAAAGACAAATTTAATTAGGAATCTGCCCTATTCTGCGTCGGACTGTTGGTCCACCTGACGACATTCCTCGTGATGAGAGCCAGCTTGGTGTAATGCCGGGTTGCTAGGACCTAGCAGACCAGGGTTCAAACCCCCACACGGCCATGAAGCTCCCTGGGTTTGACCTTTGGCTAGTCCCAGTCTCTCAGCCTAGCCCACCTCACAGGGATGCTGTGGGGTTTACTTAAAGAGAGCGGGGGAACCATGTACTCCACTCCTTGGGACAAAAAGGTGGGGTATAAATGTATGGAAATGAGAGCTGGACCATAAAGAAGGCTGATCGCCGAAGAATTGATGCTTTTGAATTCTGGTGCTGGAGGAGACTCTTGAGAGTCCCATGGACTGCAAGAAGATCAAACCTATCCATTCTTAAGGAAATCAGCCCGGAGTGCTCACTGGAAGGACAGATCCTGAAGCTGAGGCTCCAATACTTTGGCCACCTCATGAGAAGAGAAGACTCCCTGGAAAAGACCCTGGTGTTGGGAAAGATGGAGGGCACAAGGAGAAGGGGACGACAGAGGACGAGATGGTTGGACAGTGTTCTCGAAGCTACCAGCATGAGTTTAACTAAACTGCGGGAGGCAGTGGAAGACAGAAGTGCCTGCCGTGCTCTGGTCCATGGGGTCACGAAGAGTCGGACACGACTAAGCGACTAAACAACAACAAAATAACAGAACTGTACAGTTGGCAGGGACCACGAGGGTCATCTAGTTCAATCCCATGCAATGCAGGACTCTTTTTGCCCAACGTGGGGCTCGAACCCACGACCCGGAGATTAAAAGTCTCATACTCTACCGACTGAGCTGCTCCATCATAAACCATCATTGAACCTGGGACCTTTGCAGGCAAA